CTACCTTTTTCTGGGTTAGCTTAATCGGGCTTTGAACAACCCGGCCCAGGAGCTACGCTTTTAGGCTGGCCTAAATCTATATATTAGATTTCTTTGTCATGTATTACTTCCTAGTTTTACGCTTCTTTCTGTAACCTGCTGAGGATATTGAAAGGAGGTTGTAATTCTGCCAGCATTGTGATACTGAATTGTTTGGATTGAATTTGGACCTATTTATCGTGCGAAAGGTCGCCAGCGAAAAAACCCCGCACCCAACCCCTTTACCCATCCTCCATTTCATGATTTAATCTAACCAAACTGTCAATGTATTAAATTATGTGCTTGGACATAAACACTCATAGCTGGCTAACTTGACAGTGAACTGAAAGTTTCAGTAGTTCGTATACCAGGCACCCATCCTCAACATACTTGTACTTGGCTAGCTTACCCTGAATGACATCTCCAAATTTTCACCACCCCAGATGTTCATTCCTTCATCATATTGACCAAGTTGGTTGAAGTAGTTCCGATCCATGGCGAACAAACCTCCAGCCATGGTTGGAGACCTGTAGAAATAATAAAGTGTATCTGTTATACAATGTATCATGTGACTTCTTTTCTGGGGGGACCCCAATATAAGTAAAAGGATATACACAGCAGAAATTTCTAAAATACAGACCCATACAGCTCATCTGGTACCTTCAAGAAATTTCTAGAGACACGGCTCATTAAGTTTCTTATAACCACCTAGGACTAGAGGAAGCACTGCAGACTTTATGTGACACTCATGGGCTTTGAGCAACATCCAAGACAAAAATATACTTGCAAACTCTCCGCACTAGGATTTTGTAAGTTTTGGATGTTGATTTAGATATAAAGTCTATCTCCGTCAGTTCAAATGTTTCATACATTATCTTTTATATCTTCGCCATCTATGAGTAATATCAAATATTCACAAAATGACCAACTCCCCATTGGCTGGATAGTTGGTTAAAGCACTGCACCAGTATTGCAGAGGTCATGGGTTTGAATCACTTTCATGGATGACTTTTTTTCAGGCTTAATTTTCCAACTGCTTAAAGTTGCATACATAACTGCAATGATCTCTCATGTCTTAAAATAAATTTAAATTATTCCTTGACAACAGTTCTTGTTTATCAGTGACTTAGATTTATTGCAGTTTTATTTATAGAGCCCCTTCCCCCAGCTCTACCTGACTATTTAATATTAGTATAAATCTACTAGCACTCCATCATGAATGCTGCTCTCTGATTAGCTACGTTACTCGCTACCTATTCTGTGATAGATAGTGAGTAGCGTAGCAGTATGCCCTTGTTAACAAAATGTTGGCCACTTTTTGGCGTTTTGGAAGCATCTGTGAAGAGGATTTAGATAAACTTTTGAAGGACTAGTAGATTTTTACCACAAAAAAAATGATTATTTGCTCTCGATGTCTATGCGCAGCCCTTATCAACTATCACGCAATAGAAATCTCAAGCTCATAATCTAAGTGTTAAAATATATTTGACAAATCAGAATTTGAAACAACAATTAAAAAAAAAAAAAAAAAAACAAGCTTTGATAAGAATGAAATGGCCTGGCATTAAAAGGAGTTTCCTGGGCCTCCCTGGGTTTAACGTAGCCTAAATTACATTTAGCCACATACAAATTTATTTTCCTCACCTTATGGGCTGCACAAAGTCTTCAGGTTTAACAAGCAAATGTTTCGGCACTGGTTCCCATGAAAAATGAAGACCCCAGTTGAATCCTCCACGCACCAAAGGAGACGACTGGTATTCAAATGTGTCAGAGCTGATAATATCAATTACTGGACAAACCACTGTTGTGGGATTTTCCTTGATTCTCTCCAGAAGTGGAGGAAGCCACTCCTTATTCACTTCACAGTGACTGTCCAAAAAGACCAGCACCTCACCCATCGCATGCCGCGCCCCTATCATTCTCCCTCTGATAAGCCCTTCACGCTTGGACGTTCTAACTAGCTGAAGTTTTGGAAATTTAGCCACATAGTTTTCAAGTTCCTCTTTTAATTCCTCTAGAGTACTAAGATCATCGACCAGAATTATTTCATGTACTAGACTTTCTGATGTCCTGTTAAGAATGCTGTGAATAGTTCTTAATAATGTAGACCATGCTTCATTGTGAAAGCAAATAATAATACTGGCTGATGGCAAATCTGAAGAGTATGTCATCGACTGGCACCTATGAAACAAAGAACATTAATTATTTACGACACTGAGAAAACTGTATATCTTAGTAAACTCCTTAGCAAGGGACATATAGCAGAGTATGGCTACATACTGTATCCATCAAATACATGTAGAGACATCAACATCCCTGAGGAATACCAGCACTTTTGAATGTCAGACTCTTTGATGTGGTCCCAGGAGGGAAGTGGGGGGAATTCAACATCAGTGACTGTTGTTTGTTTGAGGAATTTGACACCATGTGGGATGGGGGTGTGAATTTGAACAAGCTACCTCAGAGTCACAGTATAGAAGCTCCAGACATCAAGGGTCTTTTGTAACATTTTGGTGACGTTATAAATCTCTCTAATGCCAATCATTTTTTGACTGTGAAGAATAGGAATTTTCACAATTAACCAAAACTTCAAGTGGCTAAATGCCAGGGGAATCAACAACATCCCAGAAGATTGCTCTTATTTAACCAAACAAAGGTGCTTATTTCAAATTTGATACTGCAAGCTGGAGGGTAGTTTTGAGTCAAACTGTGATCACTGGGGGAGAGCACTTACTCCTAAGCATCCCAACCTTTTTTTTACGTAGGAATCCTCGCAAGTAGATGGTGAGCTCTTGATTGAATAGTTACATTTGTAGGAAAGCTATGAACTATGCACAGCAAGGGCGTAGCTGGGGAGGGGGGTGGGGGTGTCCTGGAGTGCCCATGACCCTCCCTTTTGTAAGCCTTTTTTAAGCAAAACACCAAAAAACACAGTGTGGAGATCAAGATGACAATCTCAGGTGAGTACCCTCAACTTGACACAGTGTGACCCCTCTTTGAAAAATCCCTGCTGTGCCCCTATACAACATAAATCATAAAGACAAAGCAATACTGAGGTACTTACAACTTGTCCCTTGTGTCTTGTATTTCACGATGAAATCCCAACCTGTTGCTGATAAGTTCATTGAAAGCATGCTTCTCGTAGCCTTTTTCTCTAACCTTCTGATCCTCTCTGTTTCGAATTAAACCCAAAGTGCTAATATCTTTTTCCTGTCCCATCTCTCCTTCAAAATTGTCTGTTGGACTGTCGTTCTGTAGATGTCTCCCATGGCCCCGGTTTTCGTATAATTTGTCACTTGTTCCCACGTACATGAAAGACATGACATTGAGTGAAGCCCAAAATGAAAACGTCAAAAATGTACACAAAAGAAAATATCGTGTTGGTAACTTGAAACCCATAATGTATTACAGTATCCAAAGCTTCTACGACCGTAAAACCCGTCACTTTCCCCGGATAAAATTAATTTCATGGGATACGGATAACATATGCCGCTTCCATAACACTGCCTTGAGCACGCACTTATCTCAGTTATGTGTGGCTATTTTAATGTAGTCCTCGCTAACACCACATTGAAAATTTGTCGATTCATGACAATGGAACTGGTTGATTTCTGTTCTAATCCAAGATAACTTGAATGGGAGCCAAAAATCTCGCTTAAACAGCGACAACTTTGATTTTTGCTCTCCAATTGAGCTGTCGGATCGATCATACGTTGCATCGAAGATCAGCTATAAAATCTGTACTTCGCGCCATCGACCACATCTGTGAAATGAAACAAAGAGATATTAAACGTGATTAAGTGTGACATTAGCAGAGACCCAAACAACCTTGGAAAAAGCACGGAGATTTCTGGACAACAATTGCCCAAGAAGAAACCGACCGGGTACTGAAAATAAATACCGTCGAAATGCAGGAGAAACTATTCATGTGAAAATACAATAAGCTTATATATTATTGTAAACAGATCGAATTTACCACAAAGGATTCCCTTAACCTTTAAAATATTTTCAGTCGTTTCACCGAACTCAAGTTCTGAAGCCAACATCAACGTAGCGATAAAATTAATTTTATAACCTAGTGCATTATGACGCGAAGAGTGAAAAACATTGGTCTACATTTTAGTATTAGCGCAATAGACGAAATCTCTTCGCGCCAAATTTCGAAGGCGCCCACCACACATGACAAATCAGAAAGGAATAACTCACTTTCTCTCAAGAACCACTCTTCTCCCTTTTCCTCAACCAAAGACCAACATAGCGGAAATCCGAAAATAATACAACCACTCCTGGCTGCAACATGTGTCACAAAAAATTGACTATTGCAGCAGATTTTTTCATGGCAAGGAAAGTGCACAATTCTTATCGTGAATTCTATTGGCTGGAATCGATATCTGGTGTCTGATATCATGATCCAATCACGTGCACATGTCATGTCGTGACAGAATCCGAAGACTATCCCCGGGCCTCCTCAAGTCTGTAACCCTTAGACTCGTTAATACTCGGAGATACTCGGAAATGATCGAAAACCATCCGTTGATGTTCGTGAGCAACTGTAGGTCACATGCTCACCGGCGCCACACACACCATTATTCTCGGCCGCCATGTTGGTTCATGGTTTACGGCGTGCGGCAAGAACCGCTTTTAAACCTAACCTTGTAGCTCGAACTTTAAGACAAACACAACAGAGAACACTTCCAGTATGTTCGCAACTATGTAAGTATATCAAATACCAAAAGTTATATTTTAATTTTGCACTGGAAGTGGGTTTCTTTTGGGAGGGCGCACGTTGATTACGTTACTGACTTTTACATTAGTAGCATGGCTGGAAATGTATTGCAAAATTCGCTTAAAAGTGAATGAAGTTAAATTTTACGTACATTATTTACCTTGTCGAAAGAAACTTTATGCATTTGCTGTGCTCTGCCGGTAAATACGTGGCGATATTGTGTTCCTCGCTAATATTTTCAAACTTTGTCAAGACATGGCTTCTTCGTTCTCTTCTCCAGATAACCGTCGCTATGTTTCAACCGACAAACCTGTCTCGGCAGCAGCTGCTGCCTCGGCTGCCGCACCGAAGACAACTTCAACCACGCCAGCAGGAGCGCTTGCAGTTGGCAAAATTATTGCTGTTATCGGTGCTGTTGTAGATGTCCAGTTTGATGAGGGTCTCCCTCCCATTTTGAATTCCTTGGAGGTCGAAGGTAGATCACCAAGGCTCATTCTAGAAGTCGCCCAACATTTAGGTAAGAATTTGTTTTGCCCGTTGAGAATGGTTTTGTAGTTAAATTCGTGTTGCTCAAATTGTATCTTCAAAAATATACATCCCACACCTCATGGTGTACTTCAATACTGGATCCCCCTATACTCTCATGTTTCTTCATGGAATGCAAAATTTACATCCCCTTTGTATGAAATCGAAGTATGGCTCCTCTTGAAACCAGGTGATATTTAGTCATAAATCACATGGATCAAAAATTGAAATCAGCTCAATGTGATGAAAGTTACTCCTAAAGTTCCTTTGATATAAAGATGGACTCATTTTACACTCGGGAAAGTGACGTCAAGAAATGTTTGCCAAAAAATATGCACAATTTGTTTTAGCCTAAAAAGGTTGCAACCCGAGTGGGCAAGTGCTGACTTAATGGTGCCAGACCTGTATGGAAATGTATGAGAAGGAGTTGTTCACGAACGTGGAAATCGATTTTGAAACCTGTTTCTAAAC